AAGTACCTCTCATTCACTAAGTTGGCCTCGAAGTCTTGTCTCTGTCCGTNCCCCCCCCCCCCCCCCCCTTTTTACTAACTTCGTGTGGGGGTGGTCGTCCAGCTAAGCGAGGCACTAAGCTATCTATCTGATGTTGCTGCCTAACTACATGTGATCCGTGCCCCCTGTGCGTTCTCAGTACAGCAGACACAGAATAAAAAGTAAGTGAGTGAGCTCACCGTGATGGTACCCGAACGCAGACGGATTCAGCCGCGGCCACTTCGATACGATATCAGAGCAAGAATAATGTGGAAGTCTCTGGCTCTGTGCATTTCGAAAGTCGGGATATCTCCTCCTTTCTTTATTGGATCCGATCCAACTTTCGGAGCAATCTCATGATATCCCACTTTTGAAAATTTGTCAAAAATCCTCTCTAGTCAAACCGCCTTCGTGCCAGCTTTTCTGTTCTTTCCAGTTGTCTTTTGTTGAAGAACGCATGATACTGACTTCGCTATCGCTAAGACAAGCTCATGGGATTCCTTTTTGGCCAGTTTGCAACATCATTCATAGGGAGATACGTCTTGAGATCGCGATCTTTCTTCCTCTTCTTTCAAGACGATTGGTAATGTGATGTCGATCCTAATCCTAAGGCTGGGACGTCCGAAAAGGCGATGCAACGGCGCGCAGCGTACAGGATGTGTCAGCTCGAGTGGGCGCTCGCTGAATGCATCGAATCAGCCATGTCCCTGGATGTTTGGAATGAGTAAACATACCGCCATGCGACCAAGTCCTCCCTCAAAAACATGTCCGCACATATGGTGACCATTCACGAAATATACTGATGAGCTTGACGGGAAGATGGAGACGACTTTTTCTATCTGACGCCTGGCGACTATCTGACTCACTAAGCTAAGCGAGCCGAAACTAAGCCTGATCAGGCAGGCGACGAAGCCTTGGGCTCCATCACACCCCCCGTCGGCGAGCAGTCTGAAGCCTTTATTGTTTCCCAATTAGGCAATTTTCTCTGTACAGAGTCTTCCGAGAAGATGCCTTCCTTGAATCTGTCATCTCAGGCTGCCATAACCGAATCCACTTTGTATAGCACCATGTCGATAAGGTTGCAAAAATGCCTGTGTTTCACGCGTTCCAGAGGCTCCGGAAGCCCGTCGGCTGGGTTGATTTTGCCGTCGATCCATGTGAATTCGATAAGGCCTTTCTCCACCGCAACCTGCATGAAGAAGTACCGATTATCGACCCATTTGGTGGTAGATAAGTAGCCTGATTTGTTGACGATCTCGAGGCGTTGGCGCTGTTGCTATAGATGGTGACCGGAACAGGTGATGTCACAGCTCTTTGCGTATACGTCCGGACCCTCTGAGATCCACTGTATTCTCCACGCCTTACATCCATTGAGTTGAAGCGCTCCCATTGCGGGAACTTGTCCCGTGGTGTTTGGTCCAGGGTCAAATGGTCATAGAACTGATGTATGTACAGTTTGAGGAAATGTCTCATGCTATTTGATCGCGGTATCAATATTTTCGACTTTGTGTTGTACGTATTGCTTGTTGGTCAATGCACGGAGGGTATGAGTGCTGGGCATTGTTCCCATCAGCTGGTCACGCTCAGAGACCAGAGAGTGTTGTTTGCAATCAAATTCCGCATACTCCAGCACGTCTGTTTTCCAGACAGTGTAATATGCAATGCCGTTATGGACAATCCAAATGGTTGAGCCTCGGGGAATTCGCATGCCCTTAATATACCCCTGTTTTGCGATGTCTGCAGGCCAGCGTTGGACCCGAATATCGACTGGTAATGTCTTCATAAAAATGTATATCCAAGCATCTGACAGCTTCACAAAGGCATCGTCGAATAGATTAAACAGTCGGACTACAGACACAGGGTCTGTCGACAAACGGTATGATCTTCTCGTATACCGGAGTTGTAACGTCCTGTTCGTCTTTATTGTTTCGATGACGAGCATTTGGCATCGTTACCAGGCACAGGGATGAATTGGAACCAAAGACGGTTTTCGATCTTGTTGTCGACTACATATTGTGGACTAGCGGTTGCTAGCAATGCTTCCCACTGTTGATGGCGGGAACAGTTTAAATTCCTTTGGGTCGTGAAAGAGAAGGCGGAGAGTGATCGATGGTTTGTCTTGACAGGTAACGCCAACTTGGAGTGTAGTCCAGGTTGCTCCCGGGTTGATTCGCTTGGTTCACAAGCCTCTCAAAGACGGTACAGAAATTAATTGACTCATGGCCATGTATCCAAGGCATTGGGTGCTTTTTCCACGGTGCGCAGCCACTGCATTCTGAGAAGAGCCCCAAATGCTGGGGATTTCCCACGACATAGCATCCTCTTATTCGGTGGGCCTGGAATTGTAAAAGTCTAGCATGTCGCTCCGAATATACTCTGGACTCGTGTGGTCCAATTCGATTTCGACGTGGACCTCAGGCTTTTCAAGTCGCATTGAATAGTGACTGTGGCTTTCTCGGCCACCTTAATTAGCCTGCTGAGAAAGTCATTGCTAGACTCTTCCAGATCGCACCGTCTGAGGACTGATACGGCCTCATGGAAAAGCTTTGATCCGAAGGCGTCCAGGCCTCTCTCATGGTGAAGCTTTGGCGTATCTCTTCACTGCACGGAGTAACCAGAGAAAAGAGATATAAACGATTGTTGATCGCCAAATATCTCTCAAAAGTAAATCCATGGTCCAATTCTCTCGGGTTCGACCACTCTGTCCTCTTCTCCGGTCCCCATTCCATCAACAAGTTCAGGGCTTCTTCGGCGTAAGCCTCGATAGTGCTCTCATTAGGCATCAGTTCACCACTGAGTGAACCTGCCAGCTGGGCTCCCAACTCATACACGGCTTCTTGCGCCAAACGGGCCACCCACATCCTCTGGTAGGTGTGGTCGATGAACATACACCAAATTTTCACCTCTTTTCGCTGTCAGATTCGGCAAAGGCGAGCCTGTGCTTGCAGCATAGTGTTGATGTTCCGCGGCAGCTCAGCCATCATCATATTGTAGCATCCCGTCAAATGCAGATTTTGAGTTCAAAGCCACCCACTTGGTAGGTGGTGAAAGACTCTTGGGAATCCTGGATAACCCGCTTAGCAGACGGGTCGTCAATCATATGCTGGATAAAGAACTCTCGCACATTCATTCTGGGTGGTACCGCCCATTGCCCTGGGGTCACGATGCCTCACCATCCTGCCAAATCAGGGAAATTCACCGAGAAAAGCTGATAAGTATGAGAACTGTTTGGGACTGCTCAGGCACGGGGGTCAGTTCCAATGGTCCATGAGGTGGATTGAGCAGAGAAGATGCGTGGAGGACATAACATACCTTGCCAGTGCCCGGCTTGTTGATGAGGAAGCCACCCTTGCACTCTGTATGCTCCTGGAGGAGTATCAAGAAGGCACAATGTAGAGGTTGGCAGGTTGATGCAGGCCCTTGAAGAGGAAACAGCCTTCCTTATTTGTGTTCTGGGCATTAATCCTTGCCAAGCTTTAAAAAAAAAACTGGATGAAGTTGTTCCATTTTTTCGGCGTTTGTAAGATTGTTCTCGAAGTTGTCATTTAACTTTCCTTCGAAAGAATGCTCGAGGCCTTGACAAGACCAAATAAACTGGTCCTGGGATATGTCTGGACGGTGGAGCTTCCAGTGTTGGCTGTTTCTACGGCCGTATTGTGACTTGTTGACTGGGGCAGCAGCAAAGCATAAATATCTCGCTCTTCTGTAGAGTACGCGTCAAAGTATAGAAGTAAGAAGATTCCCGCTTGTCTCTTGCTGTAGATCTGTTAGTGGATTAGGCACACCTTCTGATCGACGCTTGCAGGGACCTTACATAGTCGTAGTCGTCATTGCTCACCCCAGCTATAACTGGTCGACTTCACATTCCCAAGGACTCTAGACGTATTCCAGATCATAGATTTGGAGGGGGATAATGGCGCTATCGAGAAACGAAACGGAGATAATCCTTCTGTGACCAGACTGATGAAAAGTCACATGTCCTGCCCACAGATGAACCATCGCGAAGAGCAGTGAAAACGACCGACGGCGAACCGTGGGCTCGGTTTCCAGTTCCCTCATGGAGTAGGTTGTCCGTGTGGGGTTATATATAGGATTATATAAATGGGTGGAATAGATTAATATAAGAAGGGTGTGAGTTTTGTCAGGTTGGATGGTGGGAAGAGGCCGTCCTTTTATGCCTGAGCCTGGCGAGACACCTGGGCGGCAGATGCCGGTGAATCCAGATGGTCACGTTCACTCGCCTTCCCTTTCGGATATTCACCTCTTAACGCCGGGTTTTGCCTAGGATTTATTCACTAAGAGGACAGTATTATTAAACAGATTGAATCTGTCAGCATAACAGGTACGAGGTCATGCAATTGGGAACGGAGGAATGAATTCTTGACAAGACTGCCAGAATCAGGCGGATGAGGGAGCAGAATATCTTTACTGGGGTAGCCAGCTATTAAGCCGATATCAGCGGGATTGTGGATGTTTCTTCTTGACTGAGACATGTTTGTCTCAGGCTGTAGTTATTTCAACAATGTCTTGGAAAACTGCTAGATCAGCCTAAAACATGTGCGGAATCAGGCATTCAAACGGCACAGACTAACAGCATTATTCGCTGTTTTGGAAAGATATCTATCTTTTCAATGGACATGACAATTCGATGTGATGACTGTCCTGTATAGGTAAGGAGCAGATAAAGATGCAATTCATTTATATCCTCATTCGTCTGCACAGTTCTTGAACAACGTTTGCATGCTCTGCTGCGCCTTCAGCGCAAACTGCTCCATCTCATAATCCTTGCCCTTGCCGTCGGGCCCGCTATCAAAAATTTCCATAGAGAAATACCCCCGGAATCCGGTCTTGAGGACCGCCTTCGTGACCTGCTCTATTGGCAGATAACCCCCGTCATAAGGCATGGGTCGAAAGTCATGACTCCATCGGCCCCGGGGCCGTAGGCCGTTGATGTCCTTTCTTTCGAGGGGTTGCACAGGCTTGTACACGTCCGAGATCTGCAGGAGGTAGATCTTCTCTGGAGGGATGGATCGCGCCAACTCGTCCATGCTGGCCGCGAATCTCTTGTCGAGCTCTTCCTTGGGAACATCCTCGATTAGACCGGAGGCAGTCGTGGGATCGCCCCATTCGGCCCCCGCTGTCTGGAAGGTGTCCAGACACAAGCCGACGTTGGGTCGATCGACTGCCTTGACGATCTCCCATACGTCCTTCCAGGTGGGTGCGTGCGTCGACCAGCACCAGTTCTCATAGGCCATCCGGTACTTTTCTCTCGCTAGCATGTCGGCTAGCTGGCGGAGATCTTCCACGATGTCCTCTCGCCTGGTGGATATTTTTTCGCCAGGGGTGTCGGTTGCTCCAACCTTGGACTGGGTCAGCATCTAGCTGCTAGACAGGAAATAAAGATATATGAGTCAAGAAAATACCTGTAATAAGTCCGTCCCACAGGCGTTCATAATCTGAATCCACCCTTTCGCTCTGGCAAAGGCATTTTCCCGCTCTACTGATCCCCTCGGCCAGCCTTCAAAGTTGGCAAAGGGCTGCAGCATCATGATCTCCAGGTTGAGGGCTTTGCATTGGCGCCCAATGTCCGCGGCAGCCTTGCAGAGGGCCGGGAAGTTGTCGTCTTCGATTTTCGTATTGAATATTGACTGCGCATAGGACTGGATGTCTGGAAAGGACAGCTCAATCGCGTTGAAGGCGGCGTTCGAGATGGCTTGCAGCTTGCGCGGTAGGGTGTCGGATGGATGGCATCCGATCGAACAGCTTGCGTAGGCGAGGGGAATCTTTCGAAAGGATTCGAGATTTAGAGGTTCAGACATTTTTCCCTCCTCTCACATAGAATCAGGAACAGGAAGAAATATACAAAATAAATAAATCAATGGTTAGTACTGTGTTCTGGAAGCAGGCCAGTACTCAAGCCCTGCAATGGTCAGCATGCAACAAAAGCAGCAATATTCCGACTGGCATATTATCACCGTGGCTTGGAAGAAGAGAGTAAATCCAGACAGCACTTAGTCGTCCTCATGTCTGGGGCTGATGATGTTTCCTTTACGCGACAGAAGCAATATCAGGGTTGTGGATCGGGTTCGTCAGGGCTGCAGTTCCGCTCGACGGCAATGTCGTAATCCCAACATCACTTTTCTGATCCTCCTCCAAGCAGATGCCAGCTGGCTCGCGACAACATGCCATGCTTTCGCGGTTCATTCTGCTGACCTTCTGGATACAGGAAAAGGAGCGAGTGGCGGCAGATCACGCGTGTCTGACGAACGGCAGCCGTCCTGACCCCGCGATTTCCGGCAAGGGACATTGGATACAACTTCGCCAAATATCCTGGCCGCAAACCATTAAGCGGCCATGATGTAACCAAGATAAAAGCGACTCCGGACAATATGTCCGTTTTGCCTCTGGAGCTGCTTTCACAAAACCACATCGGCGTCGTCTTCTCTGGGCCTTTTCCTCTCAGTCGCCCCGTTCACTGAATGCAAGAGTTTATCTAATCTTTGACAGGAATAGGATAGGCAACATGACAGATCCAGTCGAGCGGTTCAAGTGCATTGGCGTCGTCGGCGCCGGAAATATGGGGTCGATGATGACCTTTGCCTTCGCGGAAATGGGGCTGGACGTGTCCGTCTGGGACGTGAGCGGGCCCAATATCGATAAGCTGATGGAGCATGTTCGCAAGGCTCAGCCTGGCCATTTCAAGGGTACCATCACCGGCTATAAGGACATCGATCAGTTTACAAAGAGTCTCGAAGGGAAGGGAGAGCGGAAGTTGTTCATGTTCTCCATCACCCACGGCCATCCCGCCGATTCCGTCCTGGCCAAGATCAAACACGACTTGAAGCCCGGCGATATCATCATGGACGGCGGAAATGAGAACTACAGGCGGACGGAGAGGCGTCAGAGAGAACTTGAGCCCCTGGGAGTCAAGTGGATCGGGATGGGAGTCTCAGGAGGCTATCAGTCGGCGCGACGTGGGCCCAGTCTGTCTCCTGGCGGTGACAAACAGGCGATTGAGGAGGTGCTCCCACTGCTGGAGAAGTATTCGGCCAAGGATCGGAGGACGGGACTGCCGTGCGTGACTTACGTCGGTCCAGGCGGATCGGGACACTTTGTCAAGATGGTCCACAATGGTATCGAGGGAGGGATGCTCTCAACAACCTGTGAAGCCTGGGCTCTCCTCCACAACGGCTTAGGGATGACGTACGATGAGATCGGGGATGTCTTCGCCAAGTGGAACGAAAAGGGCGAGCTCTGGAATACATATCTCCTCGCGATCGGCGCGGATATGTGCCACAAGCGCAAGTCTGCCGAAGGCGATGGGCATGGAGAAGGCGTCGATCCTAACGACGGCTACGTACTAGACGACGTTCTGGACAAGGTCGTGCAGGACGACGACGACACCGAGGGCACGCCCTACTGGACGGTGATGGATACAGCGGCCCGGCACATCTCAGCACCGACCATCGCCTGCGCTCACTATCTTCGGATCGCCAGTGGGAATCGCGACCAGCGTGTGCGAGTGGCGGAAAAGCTTCGGATTCCACCGCCCAAGGCGCTCTCGGGGATCAAGGACAAGGACGCCTTCATCGAGACGCTCCGACGTGCGGTCTACGCATCGTACCTGGCCTCCTTCTGCCAGGGTCTGGAGCTCATTGCTCGCGCGTCCCAGGACGAGGGCTGGCACATCAACCTGGGCAAGTGTATCCAGATCTGGCGGGCCGGCTGCATCATCCAGTCAGAGTACATCGCAGACATGATCCAACCGATCCTGTCCTCAGACGTGCAGATCATGAACATGAAGCTGATCGACGAGGTGTCTGCGGAGCTGCACCGCAACTACGAGCCGCTGAAGCAGATCATCCTCAAGACGACCGAGATCGACGGGTACGCGCCCGCCATGTCGGCCACGCTCGAGTATCTCAAGTACGAGAGCGGCACGATGCTGCCGACCAAATTCATGGAGGCGCAGATGGACTACTTCGGCGCGCATGCGTACAACAAGCCTGGAGTGCCGGGTGAGGATCCAGGGCCGACCAGGAAGGGTCCGCACCATTACGAGTGGAAGCCTGCATGAGATGTCAGTGTATCAGCTACATACATGGCTAAGTAACCTCGCAATATATAGAATGTGTTTCTTTGTACAGAAACAGAACGGAAGATAAATGCTAACGTATTCTTAACTGTGAAATTCCAATTCATATGGACCAATAGAATTAATTAATTTGGACCATGTAAGTTACAACCTTAGTACCACAAAGAAATTTCCCACCTCTATTTAAAGCATTATATTCTCATCTACTTAACCATATTATTTTAAATTAGTAATTTTATTCTAAGCGATTATTCTCTACTACACTAATTTTACAGGCGACAAGATCGTTACGAAGGGTTTGGATAGCTTTGCCATTTGCGGGATCGACCAGGGACGGACCAATCGGCAGGCGCAGACGAGCCGGCGGGCAGCCGCCAATAATGTCGCAAACCCGTGATTATCGACGAAAAAGAAGCCCCTCTCCAGATGCCTAACAATCCTGAATGCCCCTCTGGACGCCTGTCCGCCGTCACTTCGCCCATTTCGTCTCTCGACCCCTGCGGACGATCGAGTCGCCGAAGCAACGGGCAAGGAGGATGGCTGCTCTTCCGAACGAATACAAGGGTATGTGTCGTAAGACTTTCTCGCGTTCAAGTGATTTGCTGCCGCTGCGCGGGGTAGGAGGGCGGTCTTCGCAGCTGAACCGGTTCAATGAATACTGACAACATTGTGACTGCTAGACAGTGTCCGGATCGCTGTCATCGGCGGCACCGGTCTGAAGGAGCTGCCTGGCTTCACCCAGGTAGCTTCGCTCGACATCACCACCCCCTGGGGCAAGCCCTCGTCGCCCATCACCATCCTCCATCATAAGTGCTCGACCAGCGGCAAAGATGTCCCCGTTGCTTTCCTGAGCCGTCACGGCCTTCACCACGAAATTGCCCCTCACGAAGTCCCGTCGCGGGCCAACATCGCGGCCCTGCGCTCCATCGGCGTGCGCACCATCATCGCCTTTTCCGCCGTTGGCAGTCTGCAGGAGCACATCAAACCCAGAGACTTTGTCGTGCCGGACCAGGTGATCGATCGGACCAAGGGCATCCGTCCGTTCACTTTCTTCGAGGGCGGCGCGGTGGCACACGTCGGCTTTGCGGATCCGTTCGATGAGAAGGTCGCCAAGATCGTAAGGGCCTGTGGACACAGTCTGGAGGGCGATGGCGTTGTGCTCCACGACCGGGGCACTCTGATCTGCATGGGTAGGGATCACTGCACTCCCTTCGTTTCGTCTAAGGAAATGAACTGACGGGATGTTCTTCCATCCTTCCAGAGGGACCGCAATTCTCGACCCGCGCGGAGAGCAACCTCTACCGCTCCTGGGGCGGCAGTGTCATCAACATGTCGTGCCTGCCCGAGGCGAAACTGGCCAGGGAGGCGGAAATTGCATACCAGATGATCTGCATGTCGACGGACTACGACTGCTGGCGCGAGTCCACCGAAGACGTTACGGTCGAGATGGTGATGGGCAACATGAAGGCCAACGCGGCCAACGCACGACGCTTCGTGAGCGCCGTGCTGGATACGCTGAGCCTGGATGCCCACGCCGACACCGTCAACGCCAAGCACCTCGAAGGCAGCGTCAAGTTCGGCCTCAGCACTCCCGTGACGCAGTGGAACCCGGAAGTCAAGAAGAAGCTGGACTGGCTGTTCCCGGGGTACTTTTAACGAATGAGTAGCTCATGAATGATGGATGATAGATTCTGATCCTCCCTTTGTTTGCTGCCAAGTACTTATTTGAACACTGGAGTATATACCAGAGGTACTGTATATGCGGGTATAGATTTGGAAAATACAGAAGTCGACTGTTGATGGCGGTCTTTATCGCTATTACTTTGATGAATGACAATAAGTAACCATACTGTACAGCGCTCAAAATTGGTCCCTTTTTAAATATCGTCAGGAGTACGGAGTAGATACTCAGTCCGGTATGGTGTTTAGCTATAATTTTTTCCTACTATAAATAATATTAGTGGCAGCTATACGGAGTACGTCTCAGGATTGAGCTTGTTTTAATTCCCTAGCACATGAATACTAATTTAATACTACTTTAATGCCGTTATTAGTATTTTTTTTTAAAAAAAAAATATCGCGGAAGATGGAAGATTGCGTGGCCAGATCGATCGACAGGGGAGATAACCATTTCCGTCTACTGACTAGCCATCATTAGCTGCTTGGCACTTATTATTCTTAGTATCTGTATTAATTCTGGCAATATTTTATTCCGCGTCCTCCGGAGAGAGAAATGACGAGAATAAGCACAGTGGGCAGAAATCAGTTGATATCCTTCATAATGGTCGAGGCGTGATCGGGATCGCGTGACCCGGACTCTGGACGGCGTTACATTTCCATCTCTGTGCACCCCTCTCTCTACCTCTAAATCAACCTCTCAATGCTCTGTCCGGATCACATACATCATACCCCACATGGCCTGCTGATGCTAGGAGCTAGCTCCCGCCCAGTGTCCGCTGGGCTGGTTAACCGAGGCCTCCGAGGGCACCGCGTGGCTGTACCTAGGTAGGCTGATATGATCATCCTCCACAGTGCCTTTTGAAGTCAATGTAACCGACACGCTAACACCTAGCCTTAGATCTCCTAGGCAGTTTCCACTCCATCCGAACCCTACAGGAAGGCCCCTCGTGACAACGCTGGTGACTAGGTCAAGACAGTCTGCAGCCTGCTGCCCCGCAATTCATCGTGCATCGCCCTGAGTCAATCCTTTATAATGCTTGAGACCTTCAACCATGGATCTGGCTTCGCTCTTCCTTCCCGGCTGGCATATGAGCGTGCGCCTTTGCTGGGTTTTCGAACACTGCCTGCCTGGCTAGGGAAACTGCGCTCAATACTTCCATTCGTCTGGGTCTTTCCTCCTCTACATTTCCTTCTTGGACTGTTATTTCGGCGAAGTTACGGCAATGCGTGCGACGCATGAAGACTCAGAATAATTATCTGATATTTAATCATGCTGATTAAAGCCTGACTTCTCTTTCCCTGTAGTTGTTATTATATAAGAATCATGCCTTCCCTGATGCGCGTCCTCCTTTTTGTCTCCCTCCTGTTTTGCCCTATCCCGGTGCTATCATCCTCGGGACCAGAGGATAAGGAATCTAATCTTCACATTCGTCCACGCACAGATCTCCCTCCGGGATATTCGTCGCCGGACTACTACCCCACCCCCAATGGCGGCTGGGTGTCGGAATGGGCGGATGCCTATGCCAAGGCGCAGAAGGTTGTGAGCCAGATGACCCTGGCGGAAAAGGTCAACATCACTTCCGGAACGGGCTACTTCATGGGTCCCTGTGTGGGAAATACTGGAAGCGCCTTGCGTTTCGGGATTCCCAATCTCTGTCTGCAGGATGGTCCCTTGGGAATTCGCAACACGGATCATAATACGGCATTCCCTGCGGGAATCACCACTGGGGCAACCTTTGACAAGGAGTTGATGTACGCTCGTGGTGTGGCTCTGGGCCAGGAAGCCCGCGGGAAAGGCATCAACGTTCAAATGGGCCCCGTCGTTGGGCCTTTAGGACGAAAACCTCGATCAGGACGTATCTGGGAGGGCTTTGGAGCGGATCCCTCGCTGCAGGCGATCGGTGCGGCGAAAACAATTCAGGGCATGCAGAGCGTCGGTGTCATCGCGACGCTAAAACATTTCATCGGAAATGAGCAAGAGATGTACCGCATGACCGATGTCTTCCAGCAAGGGTATTCGTCCAACATCGATGACCGCACCCTCCATGAGATCTATCTCTGGCCGTTTGCTGAAGGAGTTCGTGCCGGGGTTGGATCCGTCATGGCGGCTTACAATGATGTATGCCTTTCTCTCTTTGTTGCTATTATTCCTCGCTAACCTCGTACCAGGTCAATGGAACGGCATGTACCCAGAACAGTAAACTCCTCAATGATCTCTTGAAAGATGAGCTGGGGTTCCAAGGGTTTGTAGTGTCGGACTGGTACGCCCAGATCGGAGGTGTTTCTTCAGCGCTGGCTGGACTGGACATGGCAATGCCAGGGGATGGCGCTGTTCCCTTGCTGGGAGACAGCTTCTGGAACTATGAGCTATCAACAGCCATCTTGAACGGGACTGTGCCAGTGGAGAGACTAAATGACATGGTAAGCTGTCCGTCACCTTGATCGATCATCGATCAATATCAGCAGTACAAGCTGTTCGATATAGTGAGAACACCTTTGCTGACGACAATTAGGCAACTCGAATTGTTGCAACCTGGTATAAAATGGGCCAGGACAAGGAGTATCCGTTGCCCAACTTTTCCACAAATACCCAGGACGCAACCGGTCCACTTTATCCGGGAGCTCTCTTCTCGCCCACTGGAGTGGTTAATCAGTTTGTCAACGTCCAGGCGGATCACAACGTTGTCGCGAGAGCGGTGGCCAGAGATGCCATCACGCTCCTCAAGAATGTCGATAATACTCTTCCTCTCAAACGCAACGCCTCATTGAAGATTTTTGGCGCAGACGCGGGCCCGAATCCGGATGGTCTCAACTCCTGCAGCGACCAGGGATGCGACAAGGGCGTCCTGACTATGGGATGGGGCAGTGGTAGCGCCCGACTCCCCTATCTCATCACTCCTCAAGATGCTATCCGCAACGTCTCCTCCAACGCTCAGTTCTATATCTCCGATTCGTTTCCTTCTGGTATCTCCGCTGGCCCTAATGATATTGCTGTCGTCTTTATCAACGCCGACTCCGGCGAGAATTACATCACTGTGGAGGGAAACCCCGGTGACCGGCTGGTAGCTGGGCTGTATTCGTGGCACAATGGAGACGAGCTGGTGCAAGCTGCGGCGAAGAAATTCTCCACTGTCGTCGTTGTAGTGCACACTGTGGGCCCAATTATCCTGGAGAACTGGATCGACCTGCCCTCAGTCAAGGCCGTTCTTTTTGCTCATCTTCCAGGTCAAGAAGCTGGTGACTCGCTTGTGGATGTTCTGTTCGGCGACTACAGCCCCAGTGGGCATCTGCCATATACAATTCCGTACAAGGAATCCGACTATCCGGCTAGTGTGAGTCTTATCGATCAACCGTTTGGGCAGATTCAGGATACCTATACAGAGCGCATCTACATCGATTACCGCCATTTCCTTCAAGCCAACATCACCCCGCGGTATCCGTTTGGTCACGGTCTGTCCTACACTACCTTCAACTTTTCAGAAGCCTCTCTATCGACAATCACGCCTCTCACGCAATATCCTCCGTCCCGTCCTCCCAAGGGCCCTACGCCCACATACAACAATACCATTCCGCCTGCGTCCGAAGTCGCCTGGCCAAAGGATTTCAACCGCATCTGGCGTTATCTGTACCCATACCTGGACAATCCCGAAGCTGCAACGTCGACCGCGCCTTATCCTTACCCAACGGGGTATACCACGACTCCGCAGCCACCTCCGCGAGCTGGTGGCTCCCAAGGCGGGAACCCAGCGTTGTGGGATGTCGCATTCAACGTGAGCGTGAAAGTCAGCAATACGGGTTCCCGGCCCGGCCGTGCGGTCGCGCAGCTCTATGTCGAGCTGCCTGCATCGACTCTAGGGGTTGACCTGCCCCCTTTGCAGTTACGCCAATTCGAGAAGACCGCCATTCTGCCGCCGGGAGGGAGTCAAGTGTTGACTCTCTCAGTGACCCGGAAGGATCTGAGCATCTGGGACGTTGTGGCCCAGGACTGGAAGGCACCGGTGAATGGGCAGGGAGTGAAGTTTTGGATAGGAGAGAGCGTGGCTGATTTGAAGGTTGTGTGTGAGGTCGGTGGGCAGTGTCGGAGGGTCTAGCAGAGTTTTGATTTATTGCTGCAATAGCTGATTGGAATATGTGATTAATTAATATATATAATTAGATAGTATGTATATATGCGGACGTGAACTTGGTACGGTTTGGCGATCTTGACTTTTGACCCATACATGGAACAAAGAACCGCGGCAGCGGCAGACGACAAACGGACACCCCTGTTCTGCATTCATAATAAGAACCCAACAGCCCTTCTCTGAATTTTCATTTCTTCCTTTCCATCTATCCTTCCTCGGTGGCTATGAGCATTCCGTTCTACGGATGATGAATCTGCAAGGGACCAGGTGAATAAAACTTCTCTATATATACTACTCCAGCAGACAAGATTATCGCAGTCACTGACTACGGATGATTCGATAACTGTTGACACCTCATCGGTATTCACCTAGAGAAAAGTCTGCAATGCTTATACATCTACTTCATCGACAAGGTACAACCATTCCTAGGTTTATTCGTCGCAAGTATGCGATAATCCAGTCCATCGATTGGTCTCGTCATTCTATATATATCCTCCTCTAACGATCTCTTACTAGCCAACGACAACCCGACTGGGTAAAAAAGGGGTACATGGACACCTACCTGAAAGCTCGTTCCAATCCTAGTATTTAGTGTTCGTCTGCTACCAAGACTATGTCCAAAAGTGAATAGGATCGAGTCTGACGCAGTGGCAGTCTGTACAGGCCATCGATTCCGATGTTGACAGTGAATAAATACACACCCTAGGTACCTAGAGCCCCTACATACCTATTCAGCCGGCATATTCCGCTGAATAACTATATACCTAGGGACGGGCCTTGGCTTTCACTGGCTGTTGCTGCTGCTGCAGTACGGCGGTTATTAGCGAGAGCTCTTTCCTTCGTTTATAAATATTCCTCCGTCCGACGGGCACCTCTCGCTCCTTCCCGCACAGTCTCTCTTGTCTTTTTTTCCGCTTCAACGTGTCCCTCCTCGAGAAGACTAGAACTTCTACGACTATACTTGGCTTTCCATATACCCGTTCACATTCTTTCTTTTACTGGTATATAAATATGTTTGTCCTTCGCCGAGTCTATCGCCTCGCGTTTTCCACTGGCAGATCAAGCTTGTATGCTCCCTATCTCGATTCGCACAGGATGTCTGTCTGCCCACTGAGTCTGCTTTCCCTCCTTTTTTTTTCCTTCTCTCTGTGCAGTCAGCGCATCTCCCATGCTGAGTGTGCTCATACGAGTCCCTCCGCGTTTCTGCAGACTCCTGGTCCACAGCGCGCTAGAGTCCCCAAGTCTCGATTCTTTCGACATCTCCTCAGCATGTCTCGTGATGAGATCAAGGGGTTTGGCAAGAACGTTGAACAGTTGCTGGCCAAGAACTACCTCATCTCTGCCAATATATACTGCGTCCTTCGATGAAGGAAGACTTTCGTTTTGCTATATACGCAGTCTGGTAAGTATTCCCTCCCATTTTTGATGATTCTTCGGGTCCGTTGGAACTGTGGGTGCAACGGGAGTGCAAATGGCCTCTTTATGCTCATTATTAACGCTATCATTAATAAAAGTGAATACTGTTAATTAGTTGCAGGATCCCCATCGCAGCCATTTAAAATATTCTTGCAAATTGTGGATAATTCTGCTATCTCTCCACGAACCGGAACTGTGACCAAGCTTGCTACCTTGCTACTCCACAAAAGCTTGGGATGTCCCTCACTTGGCGTAAGCCTGGTTCGTGGACCTTGCTTGTACTGCGCTACGTTGATTGCGGCTGTCGACGAAAACACGATGTGGATTGAAGATCTCATCTTGAGGTATGAAACAAAAAAGGCCATTTTATTCTTTCACATTTAGGTGACTTTCAATATTCGGCCGGGAGGTGATCTTTTATACTGACAATGGCGGCCCAAAATAGTTCCCACGTCCTTCTCCACGGAAACAGTCGAAAGGGGCTACGAGCTCTTCCAATGCCTCGTCTGGTCTCTTCTGTCTCTCGACAAAGTTGAGGCCAAACTGCTCTCTGATAATATGTGCTGAGTTTGTGGGGCAGGTCATGTTGATGTCGCCCATATAATTACGCGGTCCAAGACGTCACGCTGAAAGTGCTTATCATTCCTGGACACCATGAGTGGGCGAGGTGGAGAGATTTGCGCATGATGGACAGGCATGCTAAAACGACAGTTAGAACACGTCCAAAAATGCCATCCATACCTAAAATCTGCTGAGAAGTTCCACGCAAGCTGTTTGGGCTTGTTCATCGTGGAAAATCAGCCTCCGAATTCCATGGAAGAGCGCAAATCCTGAGACATCCGGGACGAAAAGGGGGATGTCTTCCCCATCGCCCACTGGGGGCCAAACAACAAGGGTATTTGCACACCACCCAGATTGAATATGGCATTCGGAAAGAGATTAACAATCTGGAGAACCAAATGGCCTCTCTCTACTACCCCTCGGTAGGAAGATCCGGAAGGCCGTAGGTGTGTTCTCCGGTCTTCAGTGTGAATACATTCAAGGTCTTGCTTTGTTTTACACTCCTCCCACTCTCACCCACGCCATCTCTCAGAGTCACTCGCTAAACGCTTTCAGATGTTGACAGACACTATCATGGATGCCGCTAGATCTTGTCGCGAGCTGAATTAATAATCTCTGTTTTCTTACTTTTGATCTTTCGTTCTTGCGTTGTCTCTCTTCATCTATGGAGGTTTGGGCCCTCCGAAAAGGTACCCTAGATGAAATTGCTTCCCGGCACCAGAACTTCCGCGACGTGATACGCATGAGCACAACCACCGGGAGAAGAATTTCGGGACCCGAGACGCATCAGCTTCTTTGGCAAACTAGCCACGTCTTAATGATGCCGCGACAAAAGACAAGGTGCCTAAAACGGATTGTCATGTGGAGAAACGCACGCCGGTATTCTCAGTGTATTTTAAATGGCCCTCGAGGGTGTTCTGCTGCGTGGTCTCTTGGTTGAACACCTCCAACAATTAATTAGGGTCATGGATCACTTTTTTTTTTGTCAGGAGTACGGAGAACCTTGTGCTTCTTCCGGGAGAAAGTGATATGCTCCGATTACTCGGCCAGCCAAGGGACCAACTGTTCCTCGCGCGATGTGCATTATTATTATCTTTGGGCGAGAGAGACCTCTGTTTCTGCGATATGATATGACCTGTTAATGATCCACCAGACGATCTGATGTCGTCCGATATCAGATCCCAATTCCAGCTACCTTGGCCTCTCTTCTTGCACTTCTATGGTCCCCAAGTCTTCTCTTCATAAAATGAGGAACAATCACTCGCATCATCCTTGTCCGTGTGTGCAGATGCCGAGGAAGAATACCGTGACGAGGAAAACGATGATTACGATATAAAAGTTCGCGATTGGTGATTCATTCGACATCGTTCTTGGAGTTGACGCTGATTCTCCTTCGGCAAATGTTATTGGCGATTTCTTCGAGGCGCATGCCCAGAAGTATGGTCAGTAATTGCAGATGGAGGTTCTTCCCCAGAAAAAACCGCGTCTGGGTTAGGGTCAACTTTTTTTTCTCCCGCTTTCTTTAGGATTTTTTCCCACCGCGTCCCAAAATAATTTACTGTCAATGAGGTTGGTAACACTCTTCACAAGGCGTTTCTACAATTCGACGCCCATGAAGATGTAATCCGCTACAACGTCAGAGCTTGCATTTACAAGGAGAAGCCCAAGGAAACAGCAAGTGTTTATATACTGCTTAATTAGGATGTCTGGGAATAAAGGTCTGGATAAGTTCTTGTCGAATGACCGTTTCGAGAGCTGCAAAAACTCAATCCTTACACTGACTACGACCAATCACGCATTCTGAGATATCGTCTTTATTGAAAGCCATGGAAGTCTTTACCGAACCAAAGCATGCAGACGTCCAATTCTCCTGGCTGCGTCGATATACTGGTCCTTCTTTTTACAGTCTAATCTCCTGGCAAATCTCGATGGGCTACACCTCACTGCGCATAATCCAGATACACATCCTCTCCCGAATTTTGCAGGTCGGTTCTGGCATGTATGAAGAACCCAGATCCCACAGAAAACAGCAAACGCATATTCCTTGCTAGCTGGACAACTAGTTGCATGTTGCTTTGTCCCCTGCACAGCAGATCTACGCTTGTTGATGTACGGATCTTCCATGCCAACCAAAGAACAAGGACTAACCAGCGTCGAAGAGCCCAATGATTCAGATGATACCTGCATGGTCATATTTTGTCGGTTCGGACGGCATGAACCTCCAATACAAGGGAAAATTATGAGTAGAATTTCTAAATATTCAGTGTGCTGTTCTTAAGCACACAACAGTCATCATGACAGAGAATATCCTCCCTGCATTCAATGGGAAGCTGGACCTTCGTACTGCCTTCACCTTTACAAGTGCCCCAATGGACATGTATCGCAGACTGCGGAGGCGTCATGTTGCTCGCCGACAAGGGGTGTGTTAGGAGCCTGATGCTCCAAGGCATCACTATCGTTTCGGCCATCGACCTCAAGACAAAATCAAGCCGTCTCCATCTTCCCATCAGGCTGATCAGGTTGTGGCTCTGGGCTTTTTGAAGGCATTTTTGCGCTCCAAACCCCATGATGGCTTCATGTTTCCAAAATCGCTCAAATATTGCAAAGTAATCTCAACAGGATGGCACAGCGATGGGGTGCACAGGACTGGAATGACAGAGTTACAGAGAAAAACTTCAAGACACTGTGCACACACTCAAAGTAATGAGATCAGCTTCAGAGATAACAGAAGAACAGTTTCTCGCCCTCCGTGTCCTTTAGCCCCATCGAGGCAGATAGAGATCACGCCAGCTGTGGTGAAAGGAGCACCGCTCATTCTTCCTTTTCAGGCGCTATTTGATCGTTTGCCAACGGTGATTACGAAGCACCGTCCACAGCACATGGGCTTGGAGAGTGGGTATAAGAAAGCCACCGAGTTCATCAACAAACTTCCTGAATTCAAAGCCTATCTGAGCCACATTGGAGAGGGAAAGACAGAGATTGAGCCATACAGGGGCGACCGAAAGAGACAGGGAATGGGATCTTTCGGACTGGTGAGGCAAAACGTTCTTTTAGATGTGACATCTGGCAACTATATCTACAAACCAATGTCTTGCAAAGACAATTCGAAATCGAGCAGACTTCGCCAACGGCTGTCCATAATTAGAGGACTATCTTCAGAAAATGGAGCCTGTACAAGAAGAACACTTCCGCGATTGTCTTAACAACAATTGGCCTGGTTCAACTTCTTCCGAATCATCCGACTTTACCATATCATAGGGATGAATCTGAAATGATAAAGACTCTTCAGTACGATTAGGGGTAGAGTCGAGGGGCATAACGTCACTGCTGTTGCTGTGGTAGTTCCCAACGGGATACATTCCTGGCCACTAAGCCGCAGCATAGGACGGGCCAGTTGAAGCACTGTTCTAACAGTGCCATTTTAAAAGCAATCGTCCATCGCAGGAGAGAAAACCGCAACAAGAAATTCGTATCTTCAGCCCTCCTTTCTTTCTGTCGGCTGCAGAAACGGCTTCAGCTGCAAGTCTCTAACAAAATTCGCCGATTCTTCAGCCGCAAAGCACAACAGAGCCAAGAAAGGCAGACAAGAAAAACCATGTCACAATGAAGAGAAAACGGAGGGAAGAGGAAGACTATGTCTGTCGACGGGTGACTACAAATATTTCTAGGCGGGACTTCTAGTGTGAAATTTCTACAATATGATTTTTTTCAATGGGATCACTCGGGAAAGCAATCGTCGTCGGATATCGTCTGTGTGCATACATACAACCAAAAATTCCACCGCGGTCATGCCTGTTTCGTTGAGTCCTGTAATTACTGTGCATGTATGATGGGATGTGATGGTCGATAATATGTGCCCCTATGGATTGGTAAAAGCCACACATAGGGCTTACCCATTCTTCGTTCTCTCTCCTTTTTCTTCCTTTCCCAAAGTATAGCTATATACTTGAATGTTGCAGATCATGTTAAAGAATGGCAGTATCTTCACTTTAAACCCTAATCATTTCATATAAATGAACTTCCACGGCTACGTTGTGTGGAGACTATAGACATATTCTATAAGCATCACCAATCAGTACATTGACTTACATATCTAAATTATCTGATCTTCAATATCAATCAGTCTTGAACCGCAACGGGCCTGCCCACTGGCGAAGTTTCTTTCCATATATCTGCAGGAACACGATAAGCAGAAAGACGGCTGCACAAATGGCCGCCTGCGTGCCAAAACTCTTCTCTGTCCCCATCGCCGTCGCCCACGTCACCTGGAAGTAGCTGACGATGAAACCGCCGGTTGTGCGGCCGAAATTGACCAGCACGGCCACCTCGCCCGACCCCTCCGGGTAGGAGTCAAGATTGTACGCGTTGACAGCGACAGTGGTGATCATCACGCCGAACACGTACAGCCCCCAGGCCAGCGCCGTGATCATGTAGTGGTAGTCCCGTTCCAGGCAGAATCCGATCAGGATTAGCCCCGCCAGGATGAATGGCGTCGAGACCCAGATCGCGCGCAGCCGTGCCTCGGGCTCTAGACGCCCGGAGTGCTGGCGCATGTACATCATGGCGACGAAGTCATGCAGCCAGTGGCCGACGATCTCGCCTAGGATGGCGGCGATGACGGGGGTGAAGTAGAAGAAGCCTGACAAGACAGTAAGCGTGGAACCTTTTCCGGTTGATATTTAAGGCGCAATACTAACCGATCTGCTTGGTCCCAAAGCCATACAGCTTCGTCACGAAAATCGACAGCGTCGTGTTGATACCCACCACCCACGCAAAGGTCACCATGTAGTAGAACCAGCTCAGAACGACGGTCGGTTTACTCGCTACCTTGACCAGCCGCATCACTGCTTTAGGGAACGTGCTTCGCTGGCTGCGGGACCGCCATTGCTCGACACCGATCAGACGCAGGAGCCGCGAGCGCCGTTCTGGCTGCTGCTCGATGGGGATGCGGCGGTTGTAGTAGGTCTCGTCCATGAAGAGGATGACGGCAATCAGACACAGACCCGTCTCGATGGTGTAGATTCCGAACGGCCATTGCCATTCGAGCGAGGTCATCATGAAGGCGGCAAGCAGTGGGCCGACGTAGGGGGAGAGGATGACGAAGGAGGACCAGATGTTGATTTTTCGGCTGCAAGAATACAAGTCAGCGATATAAAAAGAACTCCAGTATGCGGTGTATTTACTTACGCATGCTCGTGGAAGAAGAATATATCTTTGATGAACATCAGACCCCCCTGTTTCCGTTATTATTTATGTCTCTACTAGCAGCAAATTCCATGCAGGATGCTAGACGTACCGCCTGGGCAACAGTCGAAAAGAAGCCGTTGAGAATACGCGCAGCCATAAAGTCATTGAAGCCCGCTGCGCCAGCGCACCAGGCAGCCGTCCACAGCGCGAAAACCAGAAACCAAAAAAGCACCGGCAGACGGCCGAAATATGCACTGAAGACGGTGACAAACAGCCCGCCGGCGCCCAGCATGAAGACATTGCCGGCCTGCGAGTGGTTGACCTCGTCCTCCGTCATGCCCCAGATCTGCGCCTGGGCGAGGAGCGTGACGGCGCCTGTGGCACTGCCATAGTCGGGTAGGAATGCGCAGCAAGAAATGATGAACAGAATGGCATGCTTGCGCGCCTGGCTCCAGTTGAGCGGATCGTTGGGGTCCTCGTTGGGCTGGGGGATGAGAACCGTCTTGCCGTCAGCAGCGAGCTTGAGGTCGGTGGCGTGGTGGCCCTCGCGGAAGGCCTGCGCATCTAGGATGTAGCCCTCCTGCTCGCCCAGGCGATCGAGGTCGATTTTCTCGCTCGTGGTGACTTCCTCTACCTGAGGCTTTTCGATGTCCCCGTCGTTGGAGGGCATGTCGTCTGTGGTCTGTTAGAATTTCACTGCAGAAGGGGCATGACAGGCAATAACGGTAAAGAAATGTGCACAAGACGTGGATAACGTTGGTGTGCTTACCTCAGATATTCTCTTGCTGTGTTGTTATATTTGATCTGTCAGAATTCCCGGCCAGGCAGGAAAAAGACGATGACACAAGACCAAATCGCGAGGCATCAGGCCTGCATATATAATAATAAGCCAAGATTTCTACATTCTTATATCCACTTCATTCGTTGTTCAGGCTGCACGGGTAAAATCGTATTGTTCAGCGACCCTTGTCTCCCAACCCCACACTCTTCAGCCTGCTGAACCCTGGCAATCGTCAGGCTTCCCCACAAACCCCGGATTTCCCCGCAATTTTACTCTTTGCAGACGCAGAGACCCAGCATTACGGGCTCCGATTTAACTGCCGGGTCCAGTCGCGTGGCTGGTCCTGATGAGTTTAATTCAGCGCCATGCAGGGCTTCGGCAGATGAGGCAGCACATTTGCCGTGCAGTTGTCTACTACCTGGTAGCCCTGTCATGGCTGGAAATTCTTGTTGAATGTGAGTGAGGCATGGATTCTGCAGGGTTAGTCAGGCTTAAAATTGGAATTCATAGAGAAGATGTCACTGGGTTCAAAAAGCCAATTGTATGGACCGTGATTCCAGACCAGTCTTCAACATGTTGACAACAAGTACATCTCTGTTCAGCCAAGCACATAGTAATACCACAAAATAGAGAGAGAGAGAGAGGACAGGCACTCGTGTTGGTATGGCTGACTTCAGCGATCGGATTGGATGTCAGCAGTTTCCTCTTGCTGCAATCTCATCCCAGAGAGACTACATACTAATTGCCAATGAATACGCCCAATGAATACGCTGTCAGCTTTTTCCATTTGTTCTTTTTCCTCCCGATTATTAATATTATTATTGCTTGTTTATCCGTCACTGCTCATCGAACTAACTATCCACCCATACCGTTCCCCTCGTAATGATTCCCCTCATAATGATTAAAATTCCTAAACCATATCAACTTATCACGGTCATTAAAGAAAACCCCTTCAGGAATTTCTCTCTAATCCATCTAGAATGTCAGATCGAATCTGACAGCCAATCAATCACTGATCAACATGCTCGTCCTCATCTCCCACCAAGGCCACCACAGACACCAAGGGCCTCCATGCCGCCCCGGAACTCATCATCCCCAATCCGATCCGGCCCGACAACCTGATGCAGCTTCTCCAGCACGGCTCCGGACCCGGACAGATTCCACTTGACCTCCAGGGCGCAGTCCCTCGGATCAAAGCGTGTGTAAAAGTCGACGCGCAGATGCCCGTTGGGCCAGTAGCCCGGTTCCCAGCTGTTGACCAGGGTCCAGTCAGGGTGGTACGGCACGAACACTTTGTGCTCCTGGCTGGCGTAGACCGTCCCTGCGGCGTTGTATTTCACGTCGACGACCGCCAGTTGGTGGAAGAAGGCCGCACTCGTCAGCGAGATGTCAATCTTCTCGTAGTGCACGTCGGCAGTGTAGTTGCGGTCGATGGCGTACTGCGTGACTCGTTAATCAAAGCATATTTGTCAGTCTGGATGGGTATTTCGTACATTCAAACCCTGAAGCAATCGTTAGTCAGCAATTAGTGTTCTATTAAAGACAGGATTAGAATTATTACTCACAGGCAGCTGTGGCCCACCATGCCCATGCTTCGACAAGTCAGCTATATAAATCCACACTTCCAAGATTCATGATGTTGACATACATGCTGTCCTCCAGTCAGTCAGAGCAGATCAGATCAACGATAACTTGAAAACGCACGTAGATAGCAGATAGTATCAACGTACCTCTCCGTGATGCTCGTTGTGATCCTGTGCGATCGGATGGAGCACACCAGACGCGCTGCCGTCGGGTGCTGCCACGACGCTGGTAGCGAAGGCCAGGGCCGTCGCGAGGAAGGCGCTGGAGAACTTCATCTTTGTTTATTTACTGCGAGAAGAGAAATTTTGCTAACCTGGTATTAGCAGATTCTAAATAGCAGATTCTAAAGATCGATAGCCGAATGCCTACCTTTTGTTCCCGAAACGGCCTTGGTTGGGTGTGGTGATGTGGGTGAGACAACACAACAATCAGCAGAGAGTTAATTTACTGAATCAAAGATTCTAACTTCCAAAACAACAGTACTATATTTCCATTCTATTATATATGTACATATTTCTAGGCACTAGAATACTTTTTCTTCTTCCTTCTCTCAGAGAGGTTGTTGACCGGGTGATGGGTCCGTGGAATGTAGACAGACTGAGGATTGTACAGTACATTCTCTCTCTCACCAATTGATTAAACTTTGACAAAAGAATGAATATCCCGCCTAACCAATCAGAGTAAATGGTAGTGCATTGTGCTAGGAAAAGACAAGGAAAAAAATGTAAGGGAGGAAAAAAAGTTGGTGGGATAGTGCTGGGACTGAATATTAGGGGATATCCCCAACAAGACGTGGTTCTAGATCGAAGGAGACTCAATAATTGAAGAAAACAGGACGAAAAAAAAAAAAGGAAAAACCAAAAAGAAAAAGAAAGAAAGAAAGACAGGTAGAAAAGGAAAAAGCTAATTTCTCTGTTATTGAATGTAAGATTATAACTAACTGAAATAATGTACAGTACAATAGTATCGTGTCAGGGCAAATCGCCCACTTCCCTAGGTAATAGATACGAATCAAACTCTAGGCAATGGGCCTACTCCTTAATGTGTGTAAAGTGTACTTACTAATAGATTCTCCGATGCAGTTGAATTGAATTCATTTCCAGAAAAAAAAAGCCCTTGAGTTCACTGAGGATCCTTTCAGGGCAGATACTTACTTACTACGTCGCTACAGGACATGAACTTCCGAACTCCGATAATAAGTCTTAAATTAACGTCGCATAATAATATAATGCAAGTGAGGAAGGCCTCAGGAAATAAGTGACCATACTATATCGTTCGTGGCTAATAACATCTCTCCAACAACGACGGTTTCGACCAACAACCTAACCGTCGGAGTAATATCTCTCCTGTTCATTACAAATCAATACGCTAAACTAACGTGCAGAACGTGCATATGTCTCCGATATTACATATACAGTACAGCTTTTCTCCGACGCGATTGATTGATTTACGCTGGAATCGCGTAATTAGATGTGGTCGGAGATGTGAGGTTGGTAGATATAGATAGATAGATACGCACGTATGAAGGTGATTGGTTGATTAATTCATTGAGCAGGACTATCGAAGGATGAGATACATTTTATTTTACTTGCCTTTCTCCTGCTAGTTGCTTGCCTACTCACGCCCATATATTTCGATATTAATAATACCTTTCGGAGACTTTCTTGGACATAATACAACTTGGAAAACAAAAATAAAGTCCGGTCGGAATATAGATATCTATATAATGCCATCGAACCACCATGATGTCGATGACTACGGATAGATAGATTCGTTAATATCAAAGACGGACACATCACTGAACCAAATTAATTGATTTCTTTCTTCAGCCTGTTATTTTATTTTCTGTTGCCTCCTTTTGAATTCTATTCAAATCCTACCTACCTATATATCTACATATATATTCACTGCCTCGCGATTATGGCTCCCATCCGCGTTGGCTTGATCGGACTTTCCAGCGCCCCTCCGGAGTCCAACGAAGGCACGGGGTGGGCAGCCACCGCCCATCTGCCCTTCCTGCAAGCATCGCCGCACTTTGAGATCGTCGCCTTGCTCAATAGCTCTGTCGAGGCTGCGCAGGCGGCGATCCAGAAGTATGGTCTGCCGCCGGAGACAAAGGCTTATGGGGATCCGAATGGTGAGAGTTCTTTCACATCATCATGTCGTTCTTCACCATTTTGCTTATGTTGATTGCGTCTTGCAGACCTCGCGGCTGACAGCACGGTCGATCTCGTCGTCAGCGTCAGAGTGGACCGGCACTTCCTCGTCGTCCGGCCCAGCATTATCGCCGGCAAGATAGTCTTCGTTGAATGGCCGCTGGACCGCAATCTGCAGGTCGCAAAAGAAATGGCTGCGCTGGCGGCAAAGCACAATGCAAAGACCATTGTCGGGCTCCAGGGCTCATTCTCACCGTTCGTTCGCAAGCTGAAGGAGACGGTTCAGAACGGTGTCCTTGGTCAGGTTCTCTCGAGTACCCTGATCCATTCCCTTACACACGCCGGCACCACGGAACGCAAAAATTTGAGATACCTTCTTGATCGGGAAGTGGGCGGAAATGTGATGACAATTCACACTGGCCATACGATTGAATACGTACTGCTGGTACGTGCTTTGCTCAGATTGAACCGGAGAAGACCTTGCTCATCGTCGTGACAGTCCATGGCGACTTGAAATCCTTTGACAGCGCCTGTGTCCTCACCTTGCCGAGAAAAGACATTGTCGACCCCAGTGCCGGAAACAAAGTGGTCGAAAAGGATGTTCCTAACACTGTCCCCGATCAAGTCCGCTTCTGGGGCACCGCAGGGCCCTCCAATGCCGCCGTGACCGTTCTTCTTCACGGTGGACCGGGCATCCCCGGTCAGCCGGAAACTGAGTGGCGCGTCCAAGGCACAAAGGGCTGGATGAGACTGACGTCTGCCGGGCTGGGCCTGAATGTCTGCAGCCTGGTCACCAAACTCGAACATTTTGACACGGAGAGCAACACAGTCCAGGAACTGGTCCCTGACCCCGATGAGTGGGATTCACTGCCGCTGCCGGCGCGCAACGTCGCACGGTTGTACGAGGCGTATCGCAAGGATGAGTGGTATCCGGATTTTGAGTGGGGTGTTAAGCGGCACCAACTGATCGAGCAGATGTGGAAGAAGTTTGACGAGACATATGGCAAGCAAGAACCGTCTCTATTGTGATGGATGTAAAAACCACTGGTTAAGGTTGTCTACTTAATCAACCTCTTCATGGTCTTGAAAAGGCCAGTGGCGCTCAACCGAGATAACATCTTCTTCATCCTCGGCTTCATCTAGCCACTGTTTCTTAAGCTGTCGGTTCAGTTCGACGACTTTCTCAGAGGACTCGTTTCCAACCCAGCCGTCCTGACCTAAATTGTCCAGGACGGAGCGCCAGTGTTCCAATAGAATAGTTGCTTTGAACCAGTTCTCTTCGATTTGATAGAACTCGTCCACTTCATCAGGATCAAAATGCACCGGGCATGGAATTTGCTCCGATTTCCCAGCTACGAGCTGGTCCCAATGGGCGACAGCCCTGACAAGGGCACCCTTCAAGGTAATTACGTTGCCGCTCCACTGTCGGCCTACTCGATCAACCAAGTTCTGGCAGAGCATTAGGGCCGGGTAACGAAGGGCATTCAAATGAGCTTTGTTGTCTTTGCCGTTAAAAACCATGTACTGTACAGATAGAAGAGCATCCTCCGTCGATAAAGCTCATCAGCATGCGACTTCTCCTCTGGACTCAAGGACTCATAATCCTCTGGAAGAGACGGCTTTTCCAAGTCCTTTGGAGGCTCGGGGTCTGGACTTTGAAAGCGCGGTGGGGTTCCAGCTTGAGCAACAGCGGTAGAATGGTCGTACATTGCCAATCGATGAGGCAGGAAACTTCGCATGAGTGCGACACAAAAACATTCGACGGATTAAGGTCTGTGTCCAATTAGTAAGACGTATTACGGGACATCTTGCAGGGTGACTACCAGGGTGGCGCAGAGTCGGTTTATTTAAGAGACTTTGGCGCTATTCCGGCAAGATGTAAGGAGAGATGGCCAGATACTTGTCAAGTAGATCCGTGTACTTTTCCGGAGAAATCTCGCCTTTGAGAATATTATTATGCGGAAAGTCATTCGTCTGGGGTTTCCCGAACTGGCGGGTCCATTCCAGTTCCCGTACGCCGATCGAACGAACATAGTCGCGTGGATCTCTCCCTATTTGTGGTCAGTGAGGAGTGCATTGGATCCAACGAAGGACTCACAGGGCCCTCGATTCAAATCCATCCGTGCCTTTCTTCCTCGCCAGAACATGTAGTCTGTCGTAGGACCGATACAGAATCGGGTTGCATCACCACTTTCGTCGGCCGTGCCAGGTGTGTAGAGATTGGCTTGGAGGTCGCGAGGCAGACTGTCCTTGTAGGACAGGCTTCCATAGGCATCAAAGCCAAACGAGAAGAGTTTCCGTTCGATTTCCACGAAACTCGTCACCAAGCGGACTCGTTCCTTAGGCGTTAGACCAAACCAGCAATCCTCCAGTGGCTTCCTGGACGCCTTCTCCATGATGATGTATTCCGTTCCAACCGGATTTTCACTTGTCGATGCACCAGGTGTAGACTCGGGGAACCGGAATGCCCTTGGAGTGCAGGAAATCCAGAGTGGCCACCTCACTTTCCGTTGCAAGAACCTTTGGGATTGTAAGCGGATATGGAATTTTGGCCACAACCTCGAATCCGTCGTCCATGGTGAGCAGAAAAATCCGATTGAATCCACCCTCTGCGAGTTTCCTCATCTGCGCGACTCCTTTCCGACCAATGCAGTTGGCCGCAACAAGTTTGAGCGCGTCAACATTAAATTCGACATATCTTTCAGCAAGGCGCAATTTCTCATTGTAAAGGTAGCGGCCGGAAGTATAGGCGGAAAAACCTCGTTCGTATTCTGACGGGTGATACATTGTTGACCGATGCCTCCGCAGCGTAAAGGCGCGGAGTACTTGTGTCGGAAAACTCCCTGACACACATGTTAAACATGGATTGAAATAGCCCAGAGAGCGACGAAGAGTGAGGACACAAGAGCGATGATGAAGGACGCGGCCAGCATCGCGAGTGCAGATGAGCGTAGGAAACAAGACGGAGGTGTCAACATTAGTAATGACCGCCTGCAACCTGTTAGCCCTACCTTAGCGGCTAAAAGCAAACATTGTTTGGACGACAGATTTCTATCCAGGACGTTATCCTGCTGTATGATTGAATTATTCAGTCAAGCTCCGGGAAAAAAAAAAAGACCAACAAACAGGGAAACCATTACCATTGACTAACACACATCGTTTAGCGTCATGATTTTTAATACCCACACCTCTATATTTATCGACATTCGTCATATATCTGCAAAGCGGCACTTGGCAATCCTCTGGCTTGGAATATCGGATGCAGCCATCGCATCCTTTACCTCTGTTTTCAGTAGACTAGGTATAGGCAAGCAACAAGCAACAGAGGACGTCGTGCTTGACTGTTCCTCATTGGCTGTGCTGTAGTGGCTCCACCGGGATCCATCTCGGAGTTCAACCCTGTGGGCTCGCGCAGTTAGCGGTAACGCTCGAGGTGTATTTAGTGGAAAAGCGGAGATCCATACCTGCAGTATCCCATCTTGCTGGCTAGTGCGAGCCCCAGGAATCACAGAGTAGAGGATGTTCTTATGCTCTTAAAGAGTGAGTCCTCTTCAAAGCGAAGGAGATGGAATGCAGGGTACACCACGTTGAGATCTGAGACTCACGTTCAGATCATTAACGCCTTGTCAAAACATCGGATGCAAAGGAGCCTAGAATTAAATAAATCCGGGCAGGCTGTATCGACAGCGCAACTATCATGAACTAGCCAAGTGGGCAGGAATGTACAATCGCTGGGACAGTACTACGACTATTACCTCCGTGAGATAGGTATATCTATACCTGTACGACGCCCACTTTTTGTCACTGCCTTTTTGGTTTATTTTGTCGCTGCCCTTCCTATAGAGCACACTTATTTTCTTCTACGATGATGTCCACCTTGTTATCCGCACTTGGCTTGTGAAGCCCAGCCTACCCGCCATCGACCGCCCTCGCATTCACGCGGTTTCAGCTGCCACAGTCCCGGTTCATATTGCGCTACTATCCGCTCTGATCAATCCCCTCGATCTGCTGGTTGTCTCCGGCAAATATCCTGTCAACACTGCAAACACCATTCCCGATTCTCGCCCGCCGGCTGACCTCGTGATCTCCGCCGGCTCGGGCCTTGGCACCTGGCGGAGCTATGCCAATGTCCGCGCCACCAGCGGGCTCAAGTTCCCTCTCCCGCGGATGCTTTCCGCCGAAGCCGGGGAAGATCCGATCGTGAAATACTCCGTACCGAGGTTAGGGTTAAGATCCTCAGCAGGCGTGGAGGTTGCATTGCATGCAGGCACCGAGCCTGCTAATAATTAGCGGGGGATCCCATCCGCCGAGGCCATGGCGTGATGCGCCATAGGGGTCGACGGTCGACACGAAAAGCAACGTGATAGGATCTGTAGGGCCTAATCTAACTCTAGACCTCGTATCGGGTGGAGATTAACCAACATTACTAGCCTCCGCCGACGATCAAAATAGCTTCAATTCCGCCCGATTGAGCGGGAGCTTAATCTCGCCAAGCCAGCCAGCATGCAGGAGCCTGTTGGTTTGATTTGTAAGCGTCAGGGCAGTATTTCTTCCAGCACTGGAACAGGTCGACGTCGCAGTTGTCGTTGTTGTCGATGCTGAGCTCTCGTCTCCAGTCGTCTTTTTTGTCCTACCATGGCTGCCATGGTCGACGGCCAGGCTGACGGTTCTTCAGACTCTGCCTTGAGAAAAGAGGCCCCCGTCTCGTCGCAGGCGCCTGGCGACATCCCCAACGGGGGCTTCCGGGCGTGGTACCAGGTCGCTGGCTCGTTCTTCCTGTTCTTCAACTGCTGGGGCGTGATCAATGCGTACGGCGTCTACCAGACCTACCACGAGCGTGACCTGCTGGCCTCGCGCAGCCCGTCCGATATCGCCTGGGTTGGCTCCCTCCAGGCCTTCCTGCTCGTGCTGGGCGGCGTCGTGACGGGCCCGTCGTACGACGCCGGCTACTTTCGCCAGCTCATCCTGGTCGGGTCCGTGCTTGTCGTGCTGGGCATGATGATGACTTCCCTCTGCCAGCAGTACTGGCAGGTCATGCTGGCCCAGGGCATCGTCATCGGCCTGGGCTCCGGCTGTCTCTTCGTGCCCAGCGTCGCCATCTTACCAACCTACTTCTCGACAAAGAAGGCCTTTGCCCAGGGCCTCGCAGCGAGCGGCAGCAGTCTAGGTATGGGCCCTAATGATGATCACTATCATTATGACCAGCGTTAATTCGAAGCGCGGGTGGCGTCATCTATCCCATCGTCTTCCGCGAGCTGCAGCCGCGCATCGGCTTCCGCTGGGCCACGCGCGTCATCGGCTTCATCATGATCGCCACGCTGGTCGTGCCTCTGGCCGGCATGAAGATGCGCGTCAAGCCGGCGGCACGCCGCAAGATGTTCGAGGCAGCCGCCCGGAAGGAGTGGCCTTTCGTCCTGTTTGGCATCGGCGAGTTCTTCGGCTTCATGGGCATGTATATCCCCTTCTTCTATGTGCAGACCTACGCCATCGACAACCGCATCACCGGCGAGAATCTCGCCTTCTACCTGCTCTCCATCCTCAACGCTTCCAGCATCGTCGGCCGTATCATCCCCAACTTCCTTGCCGACAAGACAGGCCCGCTGAACATGCTCATCCCGACCTCTGCCATCGCTGCCCTCCTGGCCTTTGCCTGGATCAGCATCCACAACACGGCGGGGTTGATCGTCTTCTGCATTCTCTATGGCTTCTTCTCCGGAACCTTCGTGTCGTTGCCACCCACGACGATCGTGACCCTGTCACCGAATCTGGGCGTTGTGGGCGTGCGCATGGGCATGAACTTCACTCTGGCCGCCGTGGGGCTGCTGGTGGGCACGCCCATTGGGCGCGGTTCTCCGCCACGGCTGGCCCGCGCTGCAGGCGTTTTGCGGTGTCTGTGTGAGCTTGGCAGCTATTTCGGTGCTGGGGGCGAGAGTGGCCAAGGTCGGCCTGAGCCCCACGGCCAAGGCGTAACTGGAATGCCTGGGGATGCGGAATTAGGGTTAGGATGTGCTTGCTATATAGGAGAAGGCGCAGGAACTGCATCTTTTGCTACTGGAATATCGTCGTAGCTAGCTTCATTATTTGCTGAAACGTAACAACAACATACAAAAAAAAAAAAAAAAGAAAAGACAAGAAAGAAAGAAAGAAAGAAAAAGAAAAGAAAAAGACAAGCGAATCAGAGCAACGAGTCAACAAAATATTCTGTTTTTCTGCGTGACATTAATTCGATTACTGACCTAGAGTCTGTTATGATAATAGGCTGACTGATGATCAATTGTGATGACGTTGAAGAGAGAAGGAAAAGAAATAACATGCTAATTTTGGAAAGGTTGACGAGTCTTGTTTTTGGAAATCCAGTCTGTTCAAAAAAAAATGTAACTCTACTATATAGAATCGACTGAAATCATTTAAAAAAAATGGACTTAATCCCGAAATTCAAACAGATTTGACCCATTTGGTCATTTATGGAAGCCTGTTTGACTTTCTAAGTGGGAAATTTAATCCTATATTCATTTGAATACTAACATACTTCAATCTCTTATTAATTAAAAGCTTATTAGTAGCTATGTACTAATGATTGCTGTAAAGAATATAACTAGAGTAAAGTAGAAGAGGCTACAGAGGTATTTGGAATTGCGAACATCTCGACCTCTACAGTACAACTTACGACCTTCAGAACACAAATACTCCTCCCCCCACACTGCTATGAAAACACAATAATTAGGGAAACGTTTCAAAGATTCAGGCAACATTGTATGTATCCCAGGTGAACATCTTCTGAAGCACAGTATAGCAGTCATCTCTTTCATGAAACAAACGGATATGCCTCCTTCTTACCATCAATGACTCTCACGCCCATTGGAATCTGTCCAAAGTACATCCATTCCAGAGGATGGTTGGGCAATGCTTGGAGGTATTTATCCGCCTCTGAGAGCATCTTCTCTAGATGAATCTGCTCCCAAACCTCCCTGACTCGGTTGCGAAACTCGTCTAAATGGCCTTCATCCTCATCATCCCGGTCGTCTGCGACCCATTCGCTACGTGCGGCCATTGCGGCTTCGTGCTGTAAGGGTTCGAATAGTATTCCTCCACGAGCGACCCTTCCACCTGTGAGTCGCGGGGAAAGGCAAACTTTCTCAGGTTTGGCAACTTGGATAATGTTTCGCGCATCACTTCATGGTCAATAAGCCAATTATGTCGCCATCCAACCTGTTCTCCAGCGCTCAGACAGATCTGTTGCAATCTTTTCAGGGTGCTAATAAGTCGGAGAGCTTCCTCTGGAATAAATTCCTCCTTCCATGTAAGGCGAAGTGAAGTCAAATTGACAAATGACCGAGACAGCGCTGGCAGCAGCTTGGAACCGAGCAGTTCTTAAGGGGCGGGATAGGGAATGCACAGTTTGCGCACCTGGCCGTTTGCCAGAACAAAGTCGATGAATGACTGTCCCCCAAAATCTAACCACTCAAGCCTCTCTAGAGACGGGATTTTTCCACGTCGGTCCAAATATTCAGAGATGACAGGTCCATCTGGACTAATACTCAATGAACGAAGACGGCATTGTTCGCTCGGGGGAATCAGTGCATGGAGAATAATGGGATACCAGCTGATCATAGATTTTCGCCCTCTTATGAGTCAAATCACGCAGTTTTTGGAAAGGAGGGAGTGTTAAATCCCAGTTTGCACGAGCGGGCTCTTTATCATGCATCATGCTGCCAACCCAGGTAAGCAATTCTAATGTCTGTGCACAGGCTCGAAGGAGGCTAATAGAGAGTGGAAGGACGGAGGGGCGATCATTCTCGGATCTCCTGGGTGGCTCGTTCAATTCCAGATGCAGAGATCGCAACGGCCATCCGCGGGTGGTTAGCTTTTGTGGTATACTGACTTGAAATTCTTCCGCCACTCGGGTACGGAACAATTTTAGATGGTGAAAACGAGACTGCATGAGACTGTGAAAAAATCCTGGGCCTAAATCAATCTTGTCCTCCCAATCCAACAACTCGAGGTGAGGCAGTGAGGGCAAAATCTGTTGTATGGCTGGAAAATACTTGTCGAAGAACTTGGTAGAAGCTTTGTGGATTCGAGATGCCTCCTCTTCCTCAGGAAGGTTTTCCAGCTCTTCTGCCCAAGACCATGCCTGAATTCAACCCACGCTGGCGACGTTGCGACCGTCAAACGTCGGATACAAGCCCCCAAAGACGATAGGCTTGTATGGCCGTGATTGGCTCGGCGGTCCGATTCTTTCAACAAATGCGATATCAATTGGACACTGGTATCACTATAGTCTAGACAGACACTGCAGAATTGGCGAGACCTAGCCAATTGACGACAATCTCTATTGACCAATGCAAGTGAGGCGAGACTGTCCTGAGCCAAGTTTTCCTGCTGTAAAGATGTTGTATGAAATTAGCCTATTAATAACGAAAGAGATCCAATGCCTTGCAAAGTAACCTAAAAACTAGAAATGAGTTTCTGTCGTATTTCTTTTTACCTTAGACAATGGATTTGAGATATCCTTGGACTAAATGTAATGAAGGAAATTCCCAAAGACACAAGTATAGCCAGTGTGGCATATGAACAGGGCTAAAATATAGGCAATAGCAATTATTGTCATACTTCCAGTGATATAGAGCTCCATGAACATGTCAGCATGCATAGATCATGTCACAGCTTGGGTAATGCCGGCCAGTGGTAGTATCCCAGCATCGGTGATACCTCTAATATAGTCTGTAAGTCAGGGAAAATGCCACCCTTTTTTAGTGTCGATTGACGCTACACTTTTCACGCAATAAAAGGAAGTCCTGGCTTCTTTTTTTAGTCGGCAATTTGGCAAGATGACACCAGCATATATTCCTACACTTGTTCATTGTATTATATAGTGTCCCATGTTCACAAATATCCAGGACATAATAATTAGAAATATTGTTTGTCATATCTCACAGTCATACGTCAACTGGATAGATGACACTAATGCGATGGGCAACGTAGTCGTCATTTGCCTAGAGGATTTGCTAGAGACAAATAGGGAAAGGAGTGATATGTATGTATATGGCAGTGATTTGCAACGGACAACGTCATGATCGATGAGATAGATGTGCTAGTGCACTGGAAATATCATATCCAAAGTGGTGTGAAAAAGCTTGCATGTTTCGAAGATAATATCTCCCTAGACTCCTTCATTCCTTCTTACTCGGGCTTCCGGCCGTAAACAATGTAGCTGATACGAGTCAGACACATCTCTAGAATGGTACAGTGTACATGACCAGAGGGAGGGTACACAGAGACAAGGGCACTTACAAATCAAAGAGCCCATGAATCGCACGATTCTTCGCATCATTCAATGTCTTTGCGGCCAGGACGCGCACTTCATCCGCAGACCAATTTTCGTGACGGGTCAACACGGCCATGGCCATCGCCTCGAAACCGGCCTCCTCGACCTGCAGGAGGTTCCAAGTTCCGAGGGTTTTCTAGTGATCAATTAGCATAACTTTCTCTTTCACGTGTATTGATATATAAAGGTAACCCACATAGTATTTGTCTTTAGGCCAGACACCCATTGGAACGCGATATTTGGTTACCTTGATATCGACAAAACCGGCCTGACGGAACCACTCTTCGAGGTGAGGACCAACACGGGCACAGTATCCGGCCTTCTCATAGGCCGCCAAGGTGTGAATATAATACTGCTCAATGGAGGTGCCTTTGGTGGATCCGTCTTCGGAGTAGATCATGGGATCCCAGTCCTGGAATTCGACCCAGCCGCCGGGTTTGGTGCAGCTGATAAATCAGTTAGTTCTCTGAAATCTTGCCAGAGACGCATTGTTGGCGGTGACTTCACTTGTAGGCTTGCTGGATCAGTCTTGGCATATCCCTGATTGAGAAGATCAACCCCCGGGCATGGATAAAGTCGAATGGATGGTGCACGTATCCCCAGTCTTCCTCGACGTCCTCGATGATGAATTTCACGTTTGGCGGGACACTGATATATCCTGGGTCAGAATTTGTTTCGACTCAAATAACACAAACAGATGACTTACAGGGTCGGCTGAGAAGGGCTCAGATCATTACCAATAACCTGGGCACGGAATTTATGTAACCGTGTTCTTTGAGACAGAAGTCGTAGACAACTAGCCTACCTCTGCAGAAGGGAATTCATCGGCTGTAGTTGTGTCAATTCAAACGGTCAACTCCTTACCGGCAAGTTTGAGCACGAACCAAACTGGATGGCCCATATTCCAGTCCCCGTACACAGGTCCAGCACCCGCTGCGGCGAGGGCCCAATTGGCGCAAGAAAGAGTTTCCTGTTGGTGGTGGCTAGGAACATCTCATGGACCATATCCAGACGATCACATTCCTTCTCATCGTTGGGTAGCATGTAACCTGGCTCATTATTTATCATGACATCCATGCAAGCAACTGGTGAAGCAACTCACGGCCATCCCGATACCCGTGGTACCGTCTGCCATTCTCTTGTCGGTAATCGAGGACCGAAGATGTCAGTGATGTAGAATAAGTGGATCTGCCAGTAATCAGTTGGTCTGAATTTACGGCGAATAATATCGGGGGGTCACGGGTTACAGTTCTTGCCCGTAGGTCGAATCATTGGTTGTAACCTGTGGACTGGACGTTAATATCTCTGCTCATAACGTTAAAGCAGCTGGGGAGGTAAGATGATGCGTGCCTCACTGTCGACTTCCAAGACGGGTTCGATGTGGCCGTTGCCACTGGCCGAGGGTTCTGCCATTGTGATGGAAAGAGCAGAGAGTCAGCATACAGAGTAAAGTCAAGTCACACCACAGCCATGACCAACACCAGCGAGTGCGGGGGGTTTATATCTCAACGCCCGTGGTGTCACTGCGCAAGAGGTTCGCCTGCCGGTTGGCGCTTTGGCAGCACCACCAACAAAGTCGCCTGACGACCAACTTGGCGTGACCGTTGTGGACGGTCCAACTCATACTCCCTCCATAACTGCGTGTCAAACTCTGGAAACTCGGAATGCCGGGCCGCAACCTTGTACGGGGACTCCAACTGCCTGTCTTGTTTTAGTGGGAGAGCAATCACCCTTTAGCGTAGTGATGAACAGGTTCGTCTGGGGTTCGCCTAGAGTTGGTTCCATTTGGCATAATTCTATAGCCTAATATTAAATTATTTGCTCTTTTATTTCCTTTCAGATTACCAAAGGTATATAGTGCTATCTGCTATGGTAGCCTAAAAGCTCTAGGAGATACTATCTTCTATATCGTAGTATTATATAACAATATCTTCCTCTGCTTATATATCTATGCTACTTGCTCAACTTCTGAAATATTAAGAGATGAGTCTGCATTTTCTTGCCGGCAGGAGGAACTCATAGAGCTTCAGGAAGATAATGTCATACGTTCTATGCATCATGAAGGCTATCTAACTATGGGTAGAACATATATTTTCTATGTTTGGGCTGGCCATGGGGGCAGTTAACCGTGTAGGTCTGCTAAGCATAAGGTGGACCACAGTTTTAATAAAAACACATCTAACCTTGGAGGAGTCCAAACCACAGGAAATGATTAAACCTGAGGATTTACAAACCATATAGTAGGTCTCGGCGTAAGGCTGCCGAGAGCTCAGTGGGGAAATAGATGAAGTCTATCTAGGCATAGAAGATCAATATATTATTGCTCCCTCTGGGGAAGAAAAAGAAGAACTGACTAGGAGCCGGCGTTGAGGTCGGCTCTAAATCTGCGTGGCCGGTTTGGCGGTCACGTGGTAACTGACAGCTGATTGGTCAGACCTGGCAGCTGCCTGAATGCCGTATGGGTCAGGCACCAACACACCCCCCTCAGCGCCAGGGCTGGCCAACAAATTCTACATACATGAAGTCCTTTCCAAAGGTATTTTGACTTGACCAATCCCATTGTTCCGTTTATTCGTCGTTATGGTCGTCAGTTCCATCATCCTTGACGTCCACTTTGTGTAGACCAATCAGATCCTTGAAAATTGTAAACT